AATTTATATATAACTCAACGAAAAAATAATTAACATTGAAAATCGATTAACATAAATTTATTGTTAACATTGTGTGTTTAATACTACAAGGGGTTACAAATTATTTCTAAATTATAATTGTGAAGTTGTACAATATTGTATAAAACTATCAAGCATCAGTAGTTACTATGATTGAAGGTATTTAAAAGAAATGAATAACCACTATTCATAAAACCATGAAGGAAAAAATAAAAGAAAAATGCGCGACAAGAGAATAAAGTCTATCTTAACGTGTGATTTCTAAAAATAAATTCAGTAAACATTTCCAAAATTTTATCTTCATTCAAGATAACATGCCATTTTTTAAAGATACAAGGGACTACAGATCAAAAGGCATTACTTTTCTAGAAAAATTCTTGAACAAGAAACCTTTATTAAAAATATTATATAGTTAATAATTGTCATATGTAAAGTTACATATACAGTTCTACTATTGATTGCTTTAAAGATATTGATTAAAAAATTACTAAAAATTATATTTAAATTACGATAAGGGTTTGTTGATATCACCTTTTTATATATAAAAAAAAAATCACCTTTTATTTTTTAATCATTATTCTAAAAATACTTGATACGTTATATATTTTTTATATTATATAAACATATAAATATATTTAAATCAATTTGCTTGAATTGATTATTCATTTTTTCTAAACCTCAATAATTTTTATACGAGACAATTTATTTAAATCAGGTAAAACAACTATATTTACAACTGCATATCAAATTAAATTAGGACATTTTTCGTTAATTAATCTACGTGTTCTCTGCTTATTAATTATTCATTTGAGTTTTTATATTAATTTTAAACTATTAAATGTATTTGAAATAAGTGCGAAAGTTAATTTGAATTAAATATATAGATTTGAATTTTGAAATAGTGTTATGCGTGTGAAATTGATTAGAAGAATGAACACCAAAGGGCACTGAGATGTTTTTACCTAAAAATGTATCAATTATCTGTCGATGTATATAAGATCTATAATGAACAGTACGTCATGTCATGCATCACTAACATCATATCACTTTATCACTTCAGTGATTAGAGGAACTATAAGAAAACAAGCATGAAAAAACATCCTTGGTATTTCGGACTTTCCAGGTGTTTTCTGTTAAATTTTTTTAACTCTTCCCTTTGGGTAGGAGCTGTTCAATAGAATTTCTTCTTTATGTTGTGTTTCTTAATTGTTGGGTATTTTAATTTGATCACGCGCTTTAATTAAAGAAAACGATGAAAATTTTGATGATGGCATTATGAGATGTTTGTTACCCATGGTGGGAACCTTCCCAGTATACGTCCACAAAAGTGAAAATAAATGATTTAAAACCCAGATGTTGACGAATGACGTGCAACTTAAAGTTCAGCATACATAACCACGTGGACTATCTTATTTTCATGTCAAAATTATTAACTCTAAGTGTATATAATTTATTACATGTATATTCCAAAAATAATTGATAATGGTTATCATATCGTGAACTGAATCTGGCCCATATTTGTGCATGTCGCCATAGCTATCTCTCTTTTTGTTCTTTGCATAGCAAAAACATATCACTGGTTGATCACTTTCCTTCTTTTTACTTTTCACCAAAATATTGTATAATACATTGCTCCAACCAGAACGAAGCATATAGTGTGATCTATCCCGCAATTGATATCTTGCAACATGCAAGCACTTATTGTTTTTAACATGGAATGTATAATGTATCTATTGCTTTTGACCGAACAAAACAAAAGGAACTTAATTAATTGATAAAATATTTTTTTATAGATACGCTGTTTGCAAAGTTGATTGGTTAACTTAACTAAAAACCAAGTTGCACAAACCCTCCTCTTTAATTTACTAGCTGGAGATCAGATGACATACAGCTCAACCTTTATAATTGCTAGGCAGATAATTTATTTTAAAAGTTTAATAAAATTAGGCCATCTTTCCCTTTTTCATTTTGATTTGATTTTAATTTACAATAATTGACAAACGTTGTTACATTATTATTTAAAGTGTTTGATATGACAGTGATATAACATAATGATCGATAACACAATAAGAATCACAACGACAATAATAAAAATTACTAAATATTTATAATAATAGACTAGTAGCAATTAAATAATGATAATAATAATAACGGTAATAATAATAAAATTATGTGATGTGATGGATGGTGAAGTTAAAATTATGATTTAAAGGAATTAAAAATTAAAAAATAGTTAATTTTAATTATATTATAATTTCATATATCGAATTGCACATTAAAATTGGAATTCTAATTCCTAAAGAGATTTCCAAACAATATAAAGTGAAATTTGATATATGACAATTTAAAAACGCTTGTATGTTTCCGGGGAGACAACTTGGCAATTAAATTAAGCCTTTATGGATGAGACCCTTCTCGGCTACGAAGGACAAGACACAAGTTGACGGCCAACACTCTAAACACACTTATGTAAGTAACATTTTTGCAAGTCTTAATGTTTTGCCATTGATACTCATACAATGTAATGCATGTGACAAATATATAACTGAGTGCAACTGTGGGTTAACTCAATGAATGGCTAGAAGGCACCAAGGACCTGTCTCATGACACTGATGTCGGGTGTCTTATCTCTAATCTATGACCAGGAATTACAATCATTCTTCATGGTGTATCGACTTCCATAGAGTACTTGCGGTAGTATGTGCAACAAGCTAAGCAAGTAACACACTTGCAATTGTACAACGATTACGTGCAGTGTGAGTTGGCAACACCTAGTCTAACAACAGCAACTGGCTGATGGCCATACCACTTTTTTTTTTTTAATCATTTATATTACATATTGTATACACTATGTACTTTATTAATGTAAGTTGTTATTACATTGTTTACCATATGTATTTGGTTAAATACTTTGATCTTAATATATTTACGTTCCTTCATTTCATATCATAGCTTACATATTGTTTATTTTCAGTGATCGTCAATATTTTATACTTAACGGTGGCTTTCGTATTTTACTCATGACTTGTGGTGTTGAACTGTCATACATTTTTATAATGAAAAATATAGTATCATTTTATATTTTTAAAAATATATTAAAGATTAAAATAAAATTAATTAAAAACGTCAATTAATTTTAAATTATACAAACTTAATAACTTTAATTGGTTTAATAAAAAAATATAATTCAACTGTACTTGACTATCTGTCCAAGGTTGTAACCTTAAGACATTTAAGAAAACTTAGTTCAAATAATATCAGGCTTAATTTTTTGAAGTAAAGTTTTAAGTTGAAATTTTGTGTATGTAAGATTTTTTAAAGAATTAGCCATGTCATACTATAAATATATATTCCAGTACAAACAAAATATGGTATGAAAAGTATTTGTGGCTAGAAAAGAAAATAACCTTGAGACTGTTCAGAATGCATGATCAATAAAGAGAGAATATGTATAGTCTTAATCAGAAATATAATATCCAGAATCCATTATAAGATTTTCCCATTCGTATACATTTTTTCAGAGGAACCAAACAAACATATTGAAGAACACATGATGAAACATCGAGTTGAAATAGCCGTTAGGCAATAGCTATCTAAGGCTGAACTGTGACCGACAATGAACCGGCCATGCTGCAGCTGCATTGAGAGCGTTAGTGATTAGGCCAAGCGTGGCACTGCTCAATTCTATTGGCATATTTATGAAATGTGCATAGCATTTTTATTTGTCATTTTTGTGGCCCAGAGCCATTATGAGGCCAATTTGTATATCCAGTATCTGAGCAATAATAATTTAAAATTAGTTTTACTTACCCTTTTTTAAATGTTAAAGATTATGAGACTTTTTTAAATTTAAAGGGTGTAAATAATCTTTGTTATTGTATTGTCTTTTTCCAATTAGCGGTTTTTCTTACGTCAAATATTTAAAATTTGTCGTATTCTTAGGTTTTGAAATAAATTGTAAAATGGACAATTTAGAATTTATAGTCATAATATCTCATTGGGTTTTGATGAGTTAGTTTAGTTTAAACTTGTATTTATTATATATTGTTGAGATTGATTTTCTCTAAGCGTTAAAAATTTCAATAAAAATAGAAATGTAATCTAATCAAACTAATTTATCTATTAAACCATTCTGATATAAATAATATTTATAAAACTAATGACATTATATTAAATAATTTTTATTGATCATTTATATAATATTTTTTTTATAATGATTATATAACTAGTGTTTAAATTTAAGATTGTCATTGATAAGTGGTTTAATCTTATTATAAATTTTGTCAAAGTTAATATATATATTTTTTAATAATTTGTGATCAGATTGTGTTTTGTGTATTTTGATGAATCGGGTTAGTTTAGAGTTTAAACCTATATCTATTGTATTTTTAAAATTAAATTTGTGTTTAAAAATTAACCCAATCCAAAATCATTTAAATTAATCAAATTGATTCGAATTTACATTATTTTAAACAATCACAAAATTAATTTAATTTAGTCTTCACAGACTATAGATTGTATGTAATTTAAGCTATTTAGAGTGGTCCACAATTTCTACAGAAGTATAAAATAATAAAATTAATATTTTAATTCTATAGTTAATTTGATTTTATTTATTAATTATGATAACATGTCACAGTTAAATAAAAAACAAATTATAGCAATTAAAACTCACTACAATTAATAAGTAGGACCACATTAAAATTGAATAAAAAATCCAAAATTAAAAGATTAAAAATAATAGTAAATATAACTTGGTGGATCAACTAGTCTCTCGTGACTTGCAAGACTGTCCTCCAACAAGTTTAGCCAACCCCATTAGGTTTTGTCGCAATTTTTAAGTCTTGGGAAAAGCACATTAATGACGACGACGTTTCTGTGAGAAGGCAAAGCCTTCACGCCTTCAACTATGTGGTAAAGCGCCGTCTAAGGTTATGTGCTCTATATAAGCACGCCAGCTGAGCCATGCATCCTGCATATATCATTTTACTATCTCCAAACCACTGCTTCTTACCATACATTCATTGCCACTGAAATATATTCTTCTACTATATATCCACTACTTCAAAACCATACTCAAATTAAACAAATACACCTCTTTTTCTCTTTCTGTGTTTCTCATATACATATTAGCTTCTGAGATGGCTGAGGGCAAAGCAGTTGAAGTAGCAGCTCAGAAATCTCTTCAGGATTTTGATTCTCTAAAGAGGCCAAAGAGGAACAAATTTGCTTTCGCTTGTGCCATATTGGCTTCTATGACCTCCATTTTACTTGGTTACGGTGAGTGCAACAACTACACGTGGACATGCATGAGCATAAGTAATATTATATACACAACAAACAGTTTTGTTAACTAGGTAGCTAGGTTTCCTACATATAATTCAAAGGATAACCATATCGATTTATGTATTTAATAATTTTCTTTCTGTTATTTATAATTTTTTTCATTTTTTAATAGTCTTTTGTTTTTTAATTATTAAAAATACATAATTAATAAAGCTTACCATCCTAAAAACTTACACAGATAAATCGTAAAAATATACGTAGGTTCCTTCCCTTTTGTTGTCTTTCAAGAGAAAGGTATATAACACAACTTGGGGAAACTACTGTCGAATTAATATACAAGGAACATTATTGTTGAGCTTTGTGTCATGATTTCAATGCAATCATTTAAGCTATGATGCATCCATGGATATGATGTCTTATATTTATATATAATACTATGATGTTATGTCACAGATATTGGGGTGATGAGTGGAGCGATAATATATATAAAAAGAGACCTGAATGTGTCGGACGTGCAAATCGAAATCCTGGTGGGAATCATCAACCTTTACTCTCTCATAGGTTCGTGCCTCGCCGGCAAAACCTCCGATTGGATTGGCCGCCGTTACACGATTGTCCTCGCCGGAAGCATCTTCTTCACCGGAGCCATCCTCATGGGGTTCTCCCCGAACTATCCCTTCCTCATGTTCGCACGCTTCATCGCCGGCATCGGCATTGGTTATGCCCTCATGATTGCCCCTGTCTACACCGCCGAAGTCTCCCCCGCTTCTTCTCGCGGCTTCCTCACCTCCTTCCCAGAGGCACGTACACACTGATTAATTACATCAATGCATTCTACTTTCATCTTAATAATGTTCATCAAATTTTATAATATTAAAGAGCAAATTGACCAATTATCCCGATTTCAAAAACTAATTAAATTAATTGACAATTATTAATATAAGAACTAGCTAAGCTTACTTGTTCGTAAGATCATGGATTGAATTAATCATTTTAGGCATATATATTATATTTACGTTAAAAGATTCGTAAACATGAATTTATTATATAAATTATAATTAGTAGTGTGTTAAGCATGAATCTAAACATGGTATAAATAATGTAACGACTGTATAACAAGATTATAGTAATATAATTTAATTGATGAGTGAATAGAATGGATGATATTTTCAGGTATTCATCAATGGAGGGATTTTACTAGGATACATATCAAACTATGGATTTTCGAAGCTGCCACTACGGCTGGGGTGGAGATTGATGCTGGGAATTGGGGCGGTTCCGTCGGTGATCTTGGCGGTGGGAGTGTTAGCGATGCCAGAGTCGCCACGTTGGCTTGTGATGAGGGGTAGGCTCGGGGAAGCGACAAAAGTTCTGATAAAAACCTCAGACTCAATCGAAGAGGCTCAGCTGAGGCTAGCCGATATAAAAGCCGCGGCTGGGATCCCCGAGAGTTGCAACGACGACGTCGTTCAACTAACGAAACGAAGCCAAGGTGAGGGTGTATGGAAAGAGTTCTTTCTTTATCCTACACCCGCGGTGCGTCACATCCTAATAGCCGCTCTCGGGATTCACTTCTTTCAGCAAGCGTCGGGAATAGACGCCGTCGTTTTGTATAGCCCAGAAATCTTCAAAAAGGCTGGGCTGGAATCCGATACGGAGCAGCTCCTTGCAACCGTGGCAGTTGGATTCTCCAAAACCATTTTCATCTTAGTGGCTACGTTTTTGTTGGATCGGGTCGGGCGTCGCCCGTTATTATTGAGCAGCGTTGGCGGCATGGTGCTTTCGCTTCTCACGCTCGGCGTCAGCCTAACCGTCATCGATCACTCACGCGCCGTGCCCAAGTGGGCCGTTGGATTGAGCATAGCAACTGTTTTGTCCTACGTGGCAACGTTTTCCGTTGGAGCGGGTCCCATCACGTGGGTTTATAGCTCGGAGATCTTCCCGTTGAGGCTACGCGCCCAGGGTGCGTCCATGGGGGTTGTGGTGAATAGGGTGACTAGTGGGGTCATCTCGATGACCTTCTTGTCCCTCTCTAATAAAATAAGCATTGGTGGGGCCTTCTTTCTCTTCTGTGGAATTGCAACTTGTGGATGGATCTTCTTCTACACTGTTCTCCCCGAAACACAGGGTAAGACCCTTGAGGAAATGGAAGGCTCTTTTGGTAACTTCCGACCCAAATCCATTCCCAAGGCTAAGGACAGTGTCAATGGCGAAATCCAATTAGCCAATTAGGGGGCTATAATCGTGCTTAATTACTTTTGAGCCAATGTAATAGTGAGCAATTGTGTACGTGTTTATATTATATTAGCTTTACAAGTCTAGCATGAGAAGCAAAATTATGTATCACTTTTTTTATCAATGAGGAGGAGAGAATTCAAAGTGTGGAAATCAGTTGGAAAAGAACGCTTTTAAAATGTTGTTAGGGTAACCTTTCCCATGGATTTGATCATTTGATGGAACTTTATTACCTATTAACCTACTCCCGTTTGTTTTTCATTCTTTTTGCTTGAAGTCAAATTTGTTTTTCTTCCATGCGTACTGATTTTTATTTTATTGAAAACAAATAGTTTCTGGTTCAAAAGTACCATAATACCAATAGCATTGCGTAATTTCAATTAGAAAACCTCAATATCTGTACATTCTCTTTGTAATTGAATAATATAAGTTGAATACCATAATACCAATACATTGCTTATTCATTTGTGACCATAACAAGTGGTTAACTGTATTAAATACATTTTTTTTATCAAACAATACCTACTATGATTGGATGGTAGACACACTAATTACATTTGATTAAAATTGTCAGCTTATTTATGAAGGAGTACAGAGCTAGTGCCTAACTTTTCTTTCTCTTTATTTTTTTAATGATATACTTCAAATGAATAAAAGAAATCTTATTTGCAGAAGTCGCAAGCTATAGTTTATGCAAAATTACCTTGATGTTATTTTAATATATATTTTTTACAAATATTCAGCTTAATCAGTTTAATCGGCTATTCACTAAATGACTCAATAATTCAGTATTTTAACCGAATCGTTTTTTAATTCGAGTTTAATAAGGCTGATTAAGATATTAGCATTTTCTTAAGTGAAAACGCCTCATTGGCTATATTCCAAGAGTGCACCAGGTGAGGTTGATTGTTAGCTTTAAAATATTCTAAAAACTCTTGACAACACTTTGGGACAGGATCATGACCACATCCACAGAGTGATAGTAACACCCTGTGATAGACCAAAAAAATATTCCCTGCTAAGGAAGTTTCTGATCATGGTGGAAAACAAACCTATCATCTTTAGTTCAATTTACGCAGAAAATTTAATAATTTTTCTTGCAATTTTTTAAAAAGAATTTTAAAGTAATTTGCTTCAAAATTAAATTTAAATAAAGATGTATTTTATCATTAGACGATATACAATATCTCAATTGCTTGCTAGGATCACATGCCTTGAAACGCGTTAATGAATTAGGTATATGTTTGGCTGCATGTAGTATCCTTCGTCATCCTTCATTAATAATTTCTTAAGCACTTTTAATATTATTTTAATTAAAGTTAATGTTTCACTTCAAAAATTGCAATAACCTTAAATACTGGTCTTTATATATATATATATAAGGGGAACAATCTGGTAATGAGAAGAATCAAAATTCACCATTTACGGAACAATTTTAGTATGGAGAAACATTATTGGCATTTCCAACGAATGATGAATAACAAGGGAGGAGGTCGTTCTTCAAATTCTTGATCTCTTGTACCATTTCTTTTTCCTGAACTTGAGGAATTTTGATGAAGTGGACAACTGGGCGAGGGAGCTTGTTAGCATCACCTCAATGAATTGTATTTACTATCAATAAATAAGATTACAAAGCTGTCTTTTTTACATCACGAGGAAACCGCAAAAAGAAACTACAGAACTTTCGAATCTTCACTCGCCATTTACTACTATTCCTTCCTTAATACTATAACCGTGAAAATTCCTCAAAAAATCAAAGCAAAAGACAACAATGAATATTAAATTACAAGTAACCATGTACATGTTACGTCAGGCCTATAGTATCTCTCACTTCTCGATGCCTTGCTGCAGGTACTGTATCAAGTCATAGCCAGCGGTTGTCCACTTATTATAAGCATCTTTACAAACATGGGTCATGAAATTGGCCGCTTCACGCTCACTCATCTCCGGATGAAATCTCTTTCGAAGATTGCCAATTGGGTCGCCCCTGCTGAAGCAAGGTAACCCGCTGTCTAGCATTAATGCCACAGTAGTGATGATCCCATCCATATGTCGACGAGCAGCTAGGTACCCCTTCACACACAAACTAAATGAACAATAACCAGTGAAATAACTTAGTTTTTCATAAATGACATGGTTGAAAAAAGATTAAAGAGGGGACTTGTCTGTGATCTTAGATAGAAATGCCATTACTACCTTAAAAATTGGGTCCATGTATCACTTTTCATAACACCAGATGGATCTAGTAATTGTGTCATCTCATGGCTCAGTTTAAAATGAGCACTTTCAAAACGCATATTCCCACCAGGAGAAGTTTCTAGGATGAAACCGAAGTCAATATGAACAAGCCTCCCAACACTGCATCAGCATGAACATTAGTGATGCATTTATTGGACCAGTAATTTATATACTTGTAGCAGGGGAACAGAGCAGAAGGGGCAGGGGATCTGAAGATTACAAATGATTTGAACTATGGGGGCCAAGCAATGATGATGTTCAATGTTTCAAGGCATCTGTAATGACTTGCTGACAAAGTAATGGAGGAAAGAGAAAGAACTTACTTATCAAAGAGAAGGTTCCCGTTGTGCCTATCCTTTGGTTGAAGCAAAAGACTAGCAACGGCATAACCAGCACTGCTAATGATAAAGTTCTGGCGTGCAGCCTCAAAACTGGCAGAACCTACAGGTCCATAGTCTTGCTGAAATATCTCAAACAAACCTCCGTCAGTTGTTTCCCCCATCTGACTTCTACTACGTGTATTTGGCACAACCTGGAAAATGTTAAAAAATAAAAAATTACAAATCCATAAAAAACCTACCCAATATTCATAATAAGTAATTAACATTGATCTTGTTTCCAACGAAACTGATTTGGATATATATATATAAACAGACCTTTTGAGCTCACTGTTGTAGAACATCTAGCTCAGCACTTACATTATTTTTCAGATTAACAAAAGAAAATAATTATAACACATGATAAATTTAGATTCATTAATCATAGATGATGCAGAAGTAGCTAAACAAAATCAACCAAAATTGTGCTTAGTCCAAAACAATGTGTACACGTTGGATAAAGAGTTTCCATGTTATTCGACTTATTTGTGTTGCAGGATCATAAAACTCGCTAGTGTTTAAAATGAGAATTTGACAACCATGCCAATGGTGCGTTCTAGACAGAAAGAATCCAATTTCCCAAAAGAAATATATTGCTCAAAAATACACTACCAAGGACTATCATAAGTTGGCAGTTATTGCTGGTCCCACCCATTCTGATCTAGAAAATACTTTTGACTTATAGGCCACAGAATTCTCACAATGCTTTAGCATATTGGGAATAAACTCACCTCTATTATACCTCTCTCAGGACCAGTAGGAAGAACACCATAAGGAAATAGATAAAGATTTATTCCAACAGCTTCAAATATATCTCTAAGCAGCGAAATTACTTGAAGGGCAAGAACATCTTGTCTACAGTCATCTCCAACCTTAAACACGAGAACTCAGTCAGCCCAAGAATGACAAAACATGCACACCCGCACAAGTTAAGCACAGTTGACAAGAAGCACAAAAATATAAACTGGTGTACCAAACATGAACCACACTTCCAGCATATTACTACTACTCTTTATTTGTTCCATATTCCAAATGAGCCCTATCAAGTGAAAATATATTTGAAGACAAATTTATTTAAATATTTTTATTTTTTTTTTAAACATCCTTCTCAATTTTATTGATTCGGAGCTCTTGATTTGTTTGTGTTATGAATATATCCATTTTTATATATATTAATTCCTATTGATGCTTTATTACACTACTTTTTATGAAATGACCCATAGACCTTTATATAGAGAAAATTGCCAAATCACCTGGACACTAGGTCCAATGTGAGTAGGATCACTTAACCATGCCTCATAATTGCAAAAACAAGTACCATGGAAATACATGTGACTCAGCCAAAGAAAGATGGTGGAGAGTTGGCCAAAATGGGCACTACAAATTTTTTGAGAAATCTCCTCCAAATCACTAGTATGACTCCGAAATCATGAGCATCAGAATGTAGGTCTCAAATCTAAATAGTAGTATCAAGTTTCTTAGCTATTGTTCTTGAGAAATGACTTTGCTAAATCCATATAGCGCAATGTTTGGCATTTTTGTTGGCAGGGTAACAAAGTACAAACACAAATTCTTGAAAATTGAGCCTATAAAGGATATCACACAAACACAGCCCAGCTAACCTTGAAAATGCAAGCTTGGGGCTTTACATCATTTTTGTCCCCATCTCGATCAACGACATTAAATGTTATCATGATTGGAACTTTTGCAGCTGATTGTAAGGGAATACCACTATCTACTCGAATACCCGTAACAAGCTTGTTAATAGCTGTTGGTAGATAAAGGTCATCACCCTCCAGTTCAATTTTCTCCAACTCCCTGTCACATTCAGCAAAAAACAAACATTAACTTCCATCAAAAAACATTGAAATTTTCACTTAATTTGAAATAGAAACCAAGCCTTCAAACATCAACCCAATACCTTCGGATACCAGCTCGGCGTTCTTCTTTAGGAAGTGGATATAGTACCCCAGAGATGGATGTAACTTTGTCAAAGAAATCAAATTCTCTTTTAAATACGTCAAGTGCCTTTGGACTAAAACCATCAATTATGCGCTGCCTTACAGCAGGCAGCAGTTCCAGAAATGAACCATTCTGAAATAAGAGCACAATGAGATACAGACTATTTAAGGCATGATTTTAACAAATCCAACAGATTCTAAAATAAAAACAAAGAATTCACTTTGAATATATCTATTTTTTCTCAGAGCACTGAAACTACTGCTACAGAATTGAATGTCAGTTTCAAAGATTTCAGAAAAAGTTAAAAAATGTAACTGCAAATTGAGAAACCTACCGTAGTCCATGATGATGCCAAACTCTAGACATTGTATTCTCATTGCAATTTCTTGAATGACAAGACTCAAGACAACATATTAAACCATATACTTTTACTTTGAGCCTACAATGGTCTAAGAGCCTGAATATATGATTACATATTACACCTCACCATTTAACTCTGAAGCCAAGAAATAGTAATGCACTGGTTGTATAACTGTATAAGCATGAAACTAAAACTATACTCCCTCCTATTTTATTTGTCTTAATTTTCACCTTCGGCAGTCCTGAAATGCATCTCACATTTGTTTTAATCAATTGTTCTCCCTATACTTTGATGTATTAAAACTAAACATGTA